TTCAAATGTAGCTATCATTTTTTTCTATCATTGTTATTATATCCCCTTGAGTTGAAACCAACTCACAACTCCTCCAGCAGGCTTTCAGAGGCTGTAAATCACATAGGAGGAGACTGCCCATCTTTCTTCCATGAAACACCTGGTGGATTTGAACCACCTATCTTTTGGTTTGGTAACACAATCCCTTACCCAGCAGGCCACCAGAGTTCTCTAATATTAATATTATACCTTTTTACTATTTTTTCTATGTTCTAACACATTTTTCAGCCCATAAAAATTCATAGTCCTTATTCACCATGGAAAGATTCAGACCCTGATGTTGCTAAGACACAGTGTGGAACCTTTCTTAAGGAAAACATCACAAAATAAGCATACAAAAGCAGGCCTTTCAGGAGGGGCATCACTAAATTGCTGCTTAATCTGCCTCTTGGAGGCACTTAGAACCTGTTCAATAAATTGTCCTCTACAGAGACCATCTTGGGCCCAAAAAGGCGAGGTAGGAAGCTCTGGTAATAGTGCTGGAAGGAGAAAACGGAAGTTTAATCAGATAGACTTTTAATTTTTTTCTCTCCTGATGGAAAGAGGGGAGGCTAGGGAAGACACAGAGAAGTCTAAGAAGCAGGCATGATTGGGTGTGGTGTTTATTGAGGTGCTCTGATGCTTTTTTTACTTTTAATAAAATTTTAATTGTGATTTTAACAAACATTTACAGAGGAGTTAGATTTTCATTCATTCATTGTTGCACATTTTACCCCCTCACCCTCGATATCCCCTCCCCCAGTTCACTTTTTAAAAAAATATTCACATTGTCGCACAATTACCTACCTCTACCCCCCCAGTCCTCTTTGCAATGATCCATCTCTTGTTCTTATTGTCGTACATATAATGCCTAATCATATATTCATTTTAGACAGTGCTTTCTTTCATCTGTTCCAATGCAATGGTTATTATCTATCCACTCTTGTGGCCTAGCAGGAAGGAACCCCCGTGTGGTTCACAGCCTCTGAGAACCTTCTAGAGGTTCAACTGTAAGTTCATTCCAACTCATTGGCACATAACAATAGCAACAACATGGTGACTCAGGTCCTTGGGTGGTGACAATAGTTTCAACCACTTGTTTAATGGTTGACAGTTCAAACTCACCGAGATGTGCCTCATAAGAAAGGCCTGGAAATCTGGTTCTGAAAGGTCACAGCCTTGACACCCCTGTGGAACAGATCTACTCCATGTATGTAGGGTTACCATGTCAGAACCAACTTGATGACAATTACGGGGACAACTCAGTGAGTCAGAAGAAGGGGTACAGGAGGTGAGACAGATGGGTGGTGGAGCCCATTTGGAAAGTAAATAATTTAAGTTTTGGAACTCTTAAACTTGATGTGTTTCTCGACACAGAAATAATGTTTGTTACACAAAGTGTGTTGCTGATAGAGATGAACCAAAGCCCCTGATGTATGTCAGGGGCTCAGGAACGAGGGGCAGGTGTGCCCTGGACAGCCATTGGCAAATGAGAGGTTGCTGAACTCAGCTGACAGCACTTCCCAGGAAAGTGCACAAATGAAAAGAAATGCAGTGTGGACATGGCACCTTAGTAAACACCAGCATTAGAGGTAAACAGAGGAGTGGAGAAATACTTGCTTTTCCAATACTACAAGTGCCAGGTGGTGTGGAGAAAAAAGAAGCTGAATTCAACACTAAGGTTTTCAACTGGGTACAGGGGGCAGGAAGACAGGGAACTTGGGGTGGGGGCAAGATTTGATCATTCAGCTGAGGGAAGAGATGAGCAAAGAAAGGGACAAAGCTAGAAATCAGAGTGAGCAGCTATTCTGCTATAGAATATGGTGCAGAAAGGAAAGAAGTGAAAGAATGAGAATGACATTAAAAGGGTCGATTGGAATGAAATTAGGGCTGACTTTGAGAGCTGGAATATGAAAATTTAACAGCAAAAACCACTGATGGCTTTTGAGCAAAGAAATTGTGCAGTCAGTTGTGAATTTGAGGAAGAGACCTTTAGCAGAGGTATGTATAATTGCATTATATTATAATCTTATAATAGAACCTGGAAGAAGTAAGGGGGGTTCTGAGTTCAGAGTTGTCATGGAGACACTGAGAGGGAATAAAAGCGAGTGATGGCAAGGGATGCAGGGGACCTTCCGCACAGGTTTTCTGAGCGAAGCAAGTAAAGACGGAGTCCAGGTTTTGAGCTCGGTGGCTGGCAAAGGAGCATAACATTTACTGAAACTGGTCTATAGGAACATAACTGAGTAAGACTTAAGCCCGAAGGGGAAAAAGAACAAAGCAGAAAAAGTGATTCTGCACCATCTCTGTGCGCCCTCCCTGCCACTGCAGTCTGGCTTTTATTGCCGTGCTCTCCAGCAGCACTGGCTCCGCAGCAGCTAGTCCACACTGCAGTTGTTAAGGTCATACGCAGGTCAAACGCCTCAGTGTCCCGTTCTGCGCTCTGCTTTGGTGGTTTCTTTGATTTGTCTAACCCTGCGTGCTGCAGGTCTGCACTAGACTCACTAGCCTATCAGTGGTCGCAGCAATGGGTTCGACAGTCTCCGCACAGGACACGGTTTGTTCCGTTGTTCTCAGGATCGCTGTGACCCTGAGTGACTCCAAGGCAGCCAACAATTAACCAAAAGGTTGGCAGTTTCAACCCACCCAGCAACACTGTGAAAGAGAGCTGCTGATCTGTTTCCAGAAAGATCACCGCTAGGCGCTGGAGCGGCTCTCCCCAGTACCACTAGGCGGCCACGTGTGGAAACTTAACTTGATGGCTCGGCGGCGTTCTGCGTTTTAGTTTCGTCATATGATCATTGGTTGGTGGAGCTTGGTTTCCATCTGGTGTACTGGACTCATTTGCATTTTACCCCCGTGTGCCCAGGAGAGCTCGCTTTACACTTTCCTGTCTCATCTCCCCGCTTTGCAGCTCTTGCCATCTCGAGAAACCTGCCTCGTGTCAGTTTTGCTCTGAAATGGTTTTGTCTAAAAGTTAGTGTCTCAATCATAGATAAAATAGCTGGTAGAAGTGCATCCTTCAAGCCTCTTTACATTTCTTCATTTAACAGAGATGATCTTGAGCTGGCTGGCGAGATTACAATAGGGAGGCGACTTGGCAGAAATGATGTTGTCGGGGACTGCTTTGTACTGAAAAAACCTTGCATCCAAAAATGCAAAAACAGTACAGGGATGGGAGCTGGGAGAGCGGCCCTGGTGCAGGGTCAAGAGACCTGCCTGTGCACACATGGTTTTTAAAAAAGTTCCGAGGGTCCTTCAAAGTCCCGGCTGAAAAACTACTCAGAGCTGCTTCTTCCTGGATCTACTCGTAGTGTTTGTGAAAAGGCTGCTTTTCTAGTCTCCTTGTCCCTTTCCTCAAGGATTGCAGGGCTCCTTATGAAAAAATAATTCAGAATGTCAAGGTTGCAACCTCCGGACATTCAAGCAGGCACAGGCTGTCTGAGTGCAGCAGGCTCACGCTGAGGCCCTGCAAGAGGTGTACCTGTGGCGCATGCCCACTTCATCCTGGGACGTGAGCATGTACACACCCCACCCCTCTGAGGCCCGGCAGGAGGTATCACCTGCAGTGCAAGCCTACTTCATTCTGGGGTTGAGCATGAACACCCCACCCCCACCCCACAGAGCCTTCATCCCTCCCAGATCACCTTCCACTTGTCATGAAAAGTGCTTCTCATCTCATTGCTAGCGGCTCCCAAGCCTCTGCGACGTTTACCTGTGGATATCGATCTTCAGAAAAGGCAGCTCGTTCTGCTCCAAGTCCTCTCCAGTTACTGGGACAGTGGTAGTTCAGTGGTTGGACAATCTTGAAGTCTTGTATTCAGTTCTGGCCAGTGAGTGCCCCTGTCGGTAGAGGCTTGTGTGTTAACATGATGCTGCAGAAGGTTTAACAGAGCTTCCAGTTTAAGATAGACTAGGAAGAAAGGCCTGGCAACTACCGCTCAGAACCACCCAACGAAAACCCTATGGACAATGGTTCAATCCTCAGCTGATCACGGGGACTGGTCAGCATTTCATCTCATTGTACCAGAGATTATGATGAATCAGTACTCCACTGGGCCACAGTTAACAAATCTCCAGTGAATATTTTTCCCCTCTTGGTAGGGGAGTGTTGTATGGTGTGTGTGAGTTTTGAACAGTTTTTCCTGTTCTCAGGGGCCACATGATGAGGAGGTTGGAGTGTAAGATTTACTCCTTGGATTTGCTATTAAAATGCAATTCTAGTTTGAGGGGTAACTTGGTAAAGGGTAAGTAGTTGACATTTTTCTGGCAGAAGAAGGTTTAGGACAGCCCAGGGACTTTGAATACTCAGTAGGCATGATCCTTATATTGCAAAATCAGGACAACAGTCCTGCTTATTAACTATAGTTATCACAGTTAATGGTTGTCAGTTTTTATCTCGATGAGAAAACTGAGGCTCAGAAAATCAAAGTAAAATGCCATAAAGTATGTGTGAATGGAAAATCAATTTGCACTGTAAATGTTAACACAAATCACAACAAAAACAACCAAACAAAATCAATAAAATTAAGACTTTTTTAAAGTCACTGCCCCCAAAGCCAGCGAGGAGATGTGCCAGTCGGAACTAGAACTCAGCCTCCTGATCCCTCCCACAAGCTGTTTGCCTCAGCGTGCACTGAAGAAGTCGCCATGACTCCATCACTTCTTCACACCTAAAAACAATCCTGTTTCTGTGGAGTTTATTCTGGCTCACTGGGAGTTTACAGAACAGCGGGGCTCTGCCCTGTCGGGTCCCCAGACCATAAATCTTTTACTGAGGTAGGCCACTACTGTTACGTCTTTCTCCCAAGGAGTGGCTGGGGGTTAGAACTGCAACCTTTTACTATTGTGGCATCTTTCAAACCACAGGTGACTTTGAAATTGCTTCTGTGTTGTATATAAAGGAATAGAGTCTGTTTCCTGCTTTTCCTCAAGAAGAATAACTTCCCATCTGATTGTTATTTCTTATTTCGACTCTCCAGAGACAACCCAGCCACCCAGTTTAATCTCAAGACTCACATGAACTCCAGAGATGTGAAAGCAGCAATAGAGAAAATGACCCTGAGAGGGGGGGTTTCTAATGTAGGTAAGTGATCTGGAGTCAGACAATTCTATCTTGTTACTGTGGCTCTATTTCTACATTCAGTGTCTGCTAACATTCCATATGTTGTTGTTATTGTTGTTAGCTGCTGTCATGTTGAACCCAACTCAGGACAACCCCATACACAATGAATGAAACTGCCTAGTCCTGGCCAGATCCACGCTTGACTGCAGAGTCAACTGTTGCCATTCATAGGATTTTCACTGGATGATTTTTTAAAATGTACCAGCAGATCTTTTAGCCTCTGCATCACCATTCCCAAAATCCTGTGTGGTGCTATGAAGCTGGTTTCAATTCATACTGATGCCATGTGACATAAACAAATTTCCCCATAGAAAGGTTAAAATTAAAATTGTCAAGAGATTTCATCTTCCTCAGATCCACAATCAGCACCCTTGGTACCAACAGTCAGGAGATCAGGCAATGTATAGCACTGAGAAGTCTGCTGTCAAGGGCCTTTCCAAAGTCCTGAAGAACAATGATGTCAGTTTGAAGACTAAGATGTGTCTGATTCAAGCCATGGTCTTTCCACTCTTCTGCTATGCATCTGAGAGCTGGAAATGAATGAGTATCATAAAAGAAGAACTGAATTCTTTGAGTTGTGATGTTGGAGAAGAGTACTGAATATCCCATGGACTGCTTAAAAGAACAAACAGATATGTTTTGGGAAATGTGCAACTAGAGTGATTCTTGGAGGCAAGGATAATGAAGCTACATTTCACATACTTTGAGCATGTTGTTAGAAGAGACTATTCCATGGAAAGGAACATCCTGCTTGGAAAGGTAGAGGGTCAGCGATAGAGAGGAAGACCCTCGAGCAGATGGATTGACGCAGAGACTACTACGGTGGACTCGAGTGTGTTGGGAATGATGAGTATGGTGTCGGATAGGACAAGGCTCAGAGTTATTGCTCATGGAGTTGTTATGAGTCATATGCACTTGACTTGACGGCAATAACAGTCTTTACAGATCTGTTCTCCACATCTTTCTCCTGTAGCTCCTGCATCAGTTCCAAATGCTAACCAACAAGATAGCAGCCAAGCATTCAGTGATTGTACCACCAGGGCTCCTTAGCATTCCACATGAGAGGGAAAAATAATAAGCCATTAAAAACTACTCGTGTGTGTGTGTGTGTGTGTGTTTTAAAGTGTTAATCATGAATTCTAGGGACAAGAATCCCCACACTCTACATGCTGCATAGCAACAGCAATGCCCAACTTCTGAGAATGGCAGCATCTTCACAACAAGCAGCCCAGCTATTGGGCTCTTTCCCAATTGATGTGCAAGCTATCAGTTATGTAACTTTAACTTATGGACTAGATTCACTCAGAAAGCTTCCCCATGTCCCTTGAGAATCTTGCCCCCAACAACTTCTGTTGTAATGACAACCATACAGAAGACACGTGGCCTTTGTTTCAAGTACTATACTTCATGAAGTAGCTGAGCCTGAGAAGGGTGCCCAGAAGTCTGGAAACTTCCTATTACTGGTTCACCTGAAGGTTGGGACTAGACATTAGGAAATTGTTTCGGACTAACCATGCTCAACTATAGCCCAAGAGCCCATATCAATATATTCATTTCTAAGGGTCTCCTGGCTTGAGGGGTACTGGGAGGGATGATTGTCTACTTTTCAGAGGGCCTGTTTTGATAATCAAAGTCCAAGGAAATGAAGAAGTGAAGGATCACATGCATAGAGAAGAGAACTATCTTTGGGGAAGCACCTCAGAGTCGCAGTAAACATGACAGTTTCTCTTCTGACTTTAGTGAACATCTCTGTGGTAAACAACTGTTGTTGTTAGGTGCCATCAAGTCAACTCCAGTGCATAGTAACCCTATGTCCAACACACCCAAGCCTTGCCCAATTCTGTGCAAAGTCACAGCCTCTGCTCTGCTTAAGCCAGCAGCTGTCCCTGGGTTAATCCATCTCAACTGAGGGTCTTCTTTGCTGACTTACCACCAAGCAAGCAAGCAAGCATCATGTCTTTGTCCAAGGACTGGCCACTACCTGATAACATGGCCAAAACATATAAGACAAAGTCTTACAATTTTTGCTTTTAAGGAGCACTGTGGTTGAACATTAATGTCATGCAAACGGAGTGCTGGAGCTGTGGACGATCCTTGATAAACACTGGTCAAGTCACAGTGATCCCGGGCCCTGAATCAGCAGTGTCTCATTTCAGACACAATAGGGCTGGTTTCTGATTTGTTTTCAGCTTTGTTCTTACATCTTACTGTAATGAAGTTCCAATAATGTGTGCTGGAAAAAGACTTCAGAAATTACCTTATTTTGTTGATGACATCAGGGAGGATCCTTAACTTAATCACATGTTCTAACTGCCTCTGTGTTGATGAAGGTTTGCGTTGAGAGAACAGTCTCTGCACCAGCAGGCTTATGCATAAAAGGATTTATCACAGAGTATTGAATGGCTTCTGAAATTGTTGGGATGCCTAAAGAAACAGATTGTAGGCTGAGCTCTCAGAGATGGCTTCCAAATACTCTCCACAGAACCAGGGCTTCCAGGAGTGATAGGGAATGGCAAAGGACACACTGACAAAGAAGATTAATCAGAACTGGCTTTGACAAGCACTGTGGCATTTGGACAAGAACAAACTGGGAGGAGGGTAGAGAGAATAGTGCAACAATGAATGAGTGGAAGCCCAAAATCTCTGTAAATGTTTATGAAAATTAATAAAATATAATTTTTTAAAAAAAAAGAACCAGGGCTTCCAAGTTCAGGAAATCACTTTCTGGATCCTGCCGGCCCCCAGGCCTTGTTACTGTCATTTAGAAAGCTGCTTTAGCCAAGAAGCTGCAGTGATTAGGAAACTGTTACTGCAGCTGCCGGCTGCAGAACCTACCCTGCTGGTGCTATTCACACCCGCAAAGCAGACACTCAGCACCTACCGCCCCAGCACCAATGAAACTAAACATGGTCAACTCTGCCACCACTGCCACAGACAGGTAAAAAACTATAGACATAGCTCGTCAGCAGAAATAGCTAAAACTACGGTTCCGGCTCTGTTTTACCTCCACCTTCCAATTCACCTGTGAGAGTGTCAAGTCATGGAATTAAAGCAAACCTAGAACCCTAGCTGCAAGGGAGTCCAGACAACATAGCTTTCACATTTTCAGCCTCTGCTCTTGAGACTCATTATATAATGCTCAGAGTCTAAACTGAGCATGAATTTACTGTGGTCTCCAAATTGGGTTGGACTGAGAGGATTCTAGGGCTCCCTGTTCTCTGATGCTGAGCAGAGGGGACAGCTACATAGGTGCACTCAAAAGGAAAATCATCCTATGTGAGAAAGTAGCTCTCAGAAGTCAAGAGTTTTTCCCAGTAACCAGGCTCTGTGAAACCAGTTGGTATAGGTTCTCCAAGAAACGTCACTGGCAACTGCATGTGTAAACAAACTAACCACTGAATCTTTTCACTTAACCCCCCGGCCAGACAGGCTTGTGTCCGTGGTTTAAGCACTACAGCAATGAGAAAAGACAATACAGACTTCAGAACACAGCCCTCCATATCTAGCAGATCCTAGAGCAAGAGGCTCATCCAAGGCTGCAAGAAGCCAAGAGGCTAAAGCCAACTCTTCTTACCCCACACTCTTTGAAATAACAGGGACCAGCTTCGGGGTGTAGTATGTTCCAGCATACAGGTGGAGAAAAGACCCTTTATTTTCTGTGAAACCCTTTCCTATTGGCTTTCTGGCCCCTAACTTCTGTTTCTTTTTCAAAAAGAGACAATTAGTAAAGGCTTTAAGTAAAACTGGGATGAGAGTGAGAATATGTGTTTTTCTGGGCCTCTTTTGTACTGTTAGTTCTCTCCTTGTTCTGACAGTGGGAGTGGGTCTCAGAGCAGGAAAGCAGGAATCACTTGGGAGCACAGAAGGACAGTTAATATGTCCAGGAGAGGACAGAGATAAAGGAGAGTCAGCCTATGCCTGAAACTGTGACAATCTGCTCAGAGTCACCTCCACTGGTGGTTTTCATCAGTAAATAGAATAATACATAATGCTAATTCATGGGCTGCCCAAACACATAGACCCATGCCATAGCCAGGATGTGAAAGTCCCAACAGAGTCTCTGTGTGGCCAGATGCTATCACCTGGTCTGCATTTCCTATCAGCCTCTTCTCTGGTCCAAGCAATGACCTTCATGCTTGAGATGAAAATAGTTTGGAAGAATAATATTCCTTGTTATCAGCCTGTCATAACTAAAGGAGACAGAGCTCATGATCCTAGGGGTAACCTCAGCCAAAGTTCCTTGGAATACAGCAGAGGCCTGGCAGCCATGTACAGTTGCATGAGTTGGACACAGCACAAATTTAAAAGGTATAATTCCTATAGATGTGAATTCTTCATCTTGCCCTAGTTGTGCATTACAGAAGACTCAGAATTCACATAGAGCACGCCTTCCTGGCTCACTCAGGAGACCATTTTACATCAATTTCTGCACATGAAATCTTTGCCTTCTTAAAAACACAACAGTGTTGTTCTCAAAGCAAAGAGTTCACTATGCTGCTTCCTTTATCTCCTGTCTATGTCCTTTGCAAAATAGTCACTTTCTTGGGGACCTTTCCAATGACCCCAGCTCTTCCTGAGCATCCACACACCCTCTAGGGAGATAATTCTGCTATAGTATTTGGGTTTCTTGCTTGATTACATTGTGGGGTTAGCTGAAGGTTAGTCAGCCTTTAGGCTAGCAATCAGTAACATTTATTTCCGAATAATACTTCCAGCTCTCAGCATTCTAACACAGCTAAGCTTGGCGGGGTTGGTCATAGTGGTTGAGCTTCCATGAACTGAGGTTTTCCAATCTTGTATTTGAATGCATTAAATCTACGTTTTAAAAATTTCCCGTGGCTGAGTCATACCCTTTGCCACTAATACTGTGATCTGTGCCTGCATTCTTAACCAGCATGATCATTCCAACAACAAATGTCTGTTTCTTTCAGGCCGGGCCCTCTCTTTTGTGGTCAAAAATTTCTTTTCAAAAGCCAGTGGTAACCGACATGGTGTTCCTAATGTGGCCGTGGTCATAGTGGACGGCTGGCCCACGGACAAGGTGGAGGAAGCTGCAAGATTTGCAAGGGAGTCTGGAATCAACGTGTTCTTCATCACCATTGAAGGTGCAGTTGAAAATGAGAAGCAGTATGTGATAGAGCCCAACTTTGCAAACAAGGTATGAAACCACCCAGCGTCTCTGCACCCTAAGGTCTCCCAGCACCTGCAGACACTGTCATTCCATCAGTGCTGCATTTCTCCTTTATATAACATGGAGTGTCTCAGTGATACAAACACATTTTCTGCTTTGGAAAAATTAGCCACTGAAAGTCCTATGGGCATAATTCCACCCTGACACATGGAGGCCAGGAGTTATGTCCAGTGTTAACTGGTTTTGGAAAATCCACTTCTAGGCTGGAGGAGGTCAGGAAAGAGACTAGTAAATCTGGAATCTGCAGTAACCTTCTCAAAGCAAAACCCCACACCCTCCTGCTAATCGAAGGTCATGCACTTAGGGAAGAAAAGTGGAGGTGCAGAAAAGTGGTGGTCCTCAGAGCCACCTAGAGGTCTGCAACTAACTCTTCTCACAGCTTCAGTGGGAATTCCAGAGGGACGGGGATGGAGCTGCACCAAGCCTGTTCACTGAATCTCTCTTACACATACACACAGTCTTTCTCTCTTTATCTTTCACACACACACACACACACACACACATCCTCTCTTACACACGCACACAATCTTTCTCATACACACACACAGACACACACATACAGAGTGATGAAAAATGAAAGGCATGATTGAGTGGGATCAATGGTTTACAAACTCCACTCCTGGATTCTGCAAGGAAGCTTGTACAGAAATGGGACCAGAACAGATGAGATTAAGGTTCCCACACTCAGTTAGCTTTTATACGTTTCAAAGGACCTCATATTAACCTCCATCAAAGAAAAAGTCCCAGCTTAAAAAAAAGATAAATAAGCCCATTTCCCCCTGATCTCTCTAGTTCACAATGAAACCCAACTCATGAAGGGCTCCTCCAAGCCCGTGTTCCTTTCTCCAGATCCATCGTCTGTTCCCCATGGTTCCCACTGCTTGGAGACTGCGCCCCACCCCCTCCCACACACAGCTCCTGTGCTCCTTCATGTCAGCAGGGCTCCGTCCACACAAAGATGCCACTCTCTCTCTTTCTGGCTGAATTGCCTGGTGGGAGGCCCTCCTCTCCCTAGACTTCAGCTCAGCCTTCCACACTCGCCTCAAACACTACCTCTTCCATGGAAAATTTGGTGACCCCATTTAGGTTTTTATAAACCCATTAAAAAAACATTTCACGGGAAGATTCTAGACCATCATGTTCTTAATTTTTTATTTATTTTTTTTAACATTGGAGATTCATGTGTAGTCACAAACCTGTGACTCTCTGACCCTACCGAGACGGGTGATGAGCAGATGCCCCTCCTTAGTGATCATCCCAGTCACTTCCAGGAGCACACAGGCTGCTCACTGTCTATTTACAGCTGCCTTCAAGGTGTGTTTTTTTAAGGCAAAAGAGACGACATGGGGGCAAAAATGTTTTCAGAGCAGTTCTTTCTCCAGTGGGTGGGGATTCCATCATGTGGCCTGGAGACATGCTCTTGGAAAGAACCTCTCAGAAAAACCTCTGCCATTGCCCTACAAAGGGGAAATTGATCATACATTCACTATTAACTAGAAGGTTAGAAGTTCGAATTCACCCAGAGGTGCATGGGAAGAAAGGGCTGGCTGACAAATCACAACCTTTGAAAACCCTGCAGAGTGAAGTTCTACTCTACACACGGGGGTTTTCAGAAGTCAGAAGCTGCTCTGCAGAGTTTAGGTTTTTTGCTTTCTTGTCATAAAGGAGCACACCTAGTCATCCTCCAAAATTCCGAGACTGAAACCCAAAATCTGTCCATCGTACAAACCAGAGTCTCGTCCTCCCCACAACCCAAACTCGAGGCCGAGTCATTATCTATTTGCTTGTGCCCAGACTTGTGCCAGGGGTGGAAAAAAAGTCATTTCCCCCGTGGGGTGATGGCCGTTACTGTCTTCTTGAGGCTGGCTGCCAGCGCCAGGGAGCTGAAGGGCAGGGAGGTATCCCTGTGAAGCTGAGGTCAGTGGTTCACTTCCCCGGTGGATTTGTTTTAGCAGATAGTTTTGCACTAAGTCGCCTGCTGAGGAAACTCTGAGAGTCTGAGGCTGACTGGGGGGTGGGGGGGGTCTTTTGCTCCAAGGAGTACTGATTGGGTGAACTGAGGTGGGGTAAAGACACTACCCAGAAAATGAACGCAGAAAACAGAGGTCTGATTGCTTCTGCTCAGAGGGTCCAGGGTAGTGGGGTAGGTGGGGGACTTGGCCCTGCACTCTGTGTCTCCCCAGGCTGTGTGCAGAACGAACGGCTTTTACTCGCTCAAAGTGCAGAGCTGGTTGAGCCTGCACAAGTCGGCGCAGCCTCTGGTGAAGCGCGTGTGTGACTCGGCTCGCCTGGCCTGCAGCAAGACCTGCTTCAACGCGGCCGACGTGGGCTTCGTCATCGATGGCTCCAGCAGCGTGGGCACCGGCAACTTCCGCACGGTGCTCGAGTTCGTGGCCAACCTCAGCAAGGCCTTCGACATCTCCGACACGGACACGCGTGTGGGCGCGGTGCAGTACACCTACGAGCAGCGGCTGGAGTTCGGCTTCGAGCAGTACAGCAGCAAGCCCGACGTCCTCCAGGCCATCAGGAGGGTGGGCTACTGGAGCGGAGGGACCAGCACCGGGGCGGCCATCAGCTTCGCCCTGGAGCAGCTCTTTCAGAAGGCCAAGCCCAACAAAAGGAAGCTGATGATCCTCATCACCGACGGCCGGTCCTACGACGACGTCCGAATGCCAGCCATGGCAGCTCACCAGAAGGGTAAGCGGGCCTGCGGGCCATCTGCGGTCGCGGGAGCTCTGCTGGAGCCAGTGAGACGAGGACGGGCCTCCCTGTGCAAGTGGAGCTCCAGGCGGGTGCAAACTGTGAACACACGCAGCTGCTAACCAAGAGGTTGCAGGGTCGAGTCTACCCAGAGGAAGGCCTTGCAGGCATGCTCTGGTGACCTAACTGTGGAAGATCAGCTATTGAAAACTCTACACAGTACAGTTCTGTAACACACCTGGCATTGCCAGGAGTCAGAGCTAACTCGAAAGCACTTGGTGGTCTTTTAGAATTTCCTATAACCACTTAATAAAATATTCCAAACCATACCAAGTATTAGGAGTGTGGTTAAACCATCCAGGCTCCTTTGAACACATGCAAAGGAAAAAGACCAAGGAGGATGGGGGCAGCCAATTAGTTGCTATGTCATCAAAAACCCAAAGCCTTATGTTGAGTGATCTAAATCAGTCTCATAAAGACAAATACGGTATAAGACTATTACTGTAGAGACAAGGGAGGGGGTGCTTAATCATAGTGTCACACAATTTGATGGATGGAGGGAGGGTTCGGTAAAAGAAATGGGAAAGATCCAGTGTGAAAAACAATGTATACGAACTTTGTAAGTAAACCAGTAGAAAATTAAAAAAAAACAAAAACCAAACAAACAAATAGCAGAAAAAACCCAAGGCCTGTGATTGCCCTGAACAGTAACCCTTCCTTTACAGGAGCCCTGTTGGTACAGTATTAAGCATTTGGCTTAATACACACACAGAATGTTCAGTGGGAGACGCAAGAGGCTGTCTATTTCCTTAAAGATCACTGTCTGAACCCTATGGGGTGATTCTGCTCTTGCTTGAGTGTCTATAGGATCTCTTTGAGATAAAGTTAGCAGCAATAAATTTGGGTTTGGTTGCATCCCACACCCGGACACATTGTACTTGAAGGGATGAAACATAGAAAAGGAATTAGATCCATTTCTTTAATCTCTCTGAAGACCACCAAATTGTCTTAACACATCTTAAAAATATTTTTAAAGAAAAATACTGCTTCTCATCCTCAGAGAAATACACTATTTAAGGAAATGCATATTTATATATAAATATAAATAATTTTTACAATTTATATATCTTTATATTTCCATATAAAATGTATATTAGAGTAACAGAAAGTTTAAAGCTATGAAATATTACTAAAATATTTTTATAAACACTTATAAAAGCAGTCACCTAAAAGCCCTTTTTGTAGAATCTTTGGGTAATCAGTTTGGGTGGGACTTAGTTTGTTTGCTTTTTTAAGTACCCTGAAATACAAATAACCTTGAGAAAACCCTATGAGATAGTAGTAATAATGAGAGCACAGCAAATGGTCAGTGACACAAGGATCTGCAGAGCAACGCTGGTGTGCAAGGATGGTGCCACCGTTGTTTTCTCTCTGCATTTAATATGAGTAATTTTGCAAGACCTTCTGTATTGTTAATAGCTGCTTTTAATTCATCCATAAGTGTTGTCGCCTTTGAATCAATTCTAACTCATCGGGACACTGCACACAACAGACTGACGCTCTGTTCAATCCAGTTTCATCCTTACCGTCTCCGCTGTATGTAAGCACAGTTTTACATCCTCTGTGTCACAATATCTTGTTGAGGGTTGTTGTTGTTGTTATTAAGAGCCATCGAGTCGTAGGTGACTCATAGCAACCCTATGAATGAAAGACCTGAACACTTGGATAACTTTCGTCTTTTTTTCCAAGTTCATAGGGTTTCCGGACGCAAGCTATTTTGGAAGTGGATGCCACTCCTGCTTCCACGCTTGTTTTATTCAGGGAGCTCCACCAAACACTGCCCACCATGGGTAACCATTATCACGTTTGACACAACAGTGTCACAGTGTTCAGCATCACAGCCACCATGAGTTACCTCTGTACAGCAAGTGGACAGACCAGTGCTATACCACTTAGAAAAATGTTTGACCAAAAACAACTAAAACCAGGCCTGATGGCCGCAGATTAAAATCACTCACTTTTGACTTGGTAGCATAACTTTCTCTCCACTAGGCCAACCAAGCTCTCTCTATGCTGTTGTTGTGGTTGTTAAGTGCCACCGAGTCATAGATGACTCACAGCAACCCTATGAACGAAAGACCTGAACACTTGTATAACTTTCATCTTTTCTCCAAGTTCATAAAATCTTGTTGGGGATAGTCCTCTTTTTTTTTTTTCTGACCCTCTACTTTTCGAAGCATGATGCCCTTTTCATCGGACTGACCCCTTCAGATAACACACTCAAAATATGAGAGACCAAGTCCCCCCATCCTTGCTTCTAAGAAGCACTCTGCCTATACTTTTCCCAAAAGAGACTTGTTTGTTCTTCTAGCATTCATGATATATCCAATATGCTTTGCCAACAGCACAACTCAAAGACATAGGTTCTTCTTCGGTTTCCTTTATGTCCAACTTTCACATAGGAAGCAATTGAAAAGATCATGATCAGACACACCTAAATCCTCAAAGTGATTTCATTACTCTAGCATTTTAGAAAAGTCCTTGGTGGTAAATTTTCCCAGTGCAATACATGGTTCTATTTCTTGACTGATGATTCCATTGGTATTGATTGTGGATCCAAGTAAAATGAAATCCTTGATTATGCCAACCTTTTCTCCATCTATCATGATGTGGCTTGATGGGCCAGTTTTGGGAATTGTTCTTTTATGCATGTTGAAATGTAATCCATATCGAAAGCTAGAGTCTTTCATCTTCAGTAGAACTCAAGTCTTCACATTCAGCAAACAAGTTTGTGTCATATGTGTACAATGCAGGTTGTTGGTGAGTCTTTTTCTAATCCTGATTTACATTCTTCTTCATTGATTCCATCTTCTCAGGTTATATGTTCAGCATATAGATTTTAACAGGTACAGTGAACGGATATAACCTTGAAACACATCCTTCCAGATTTTAAACTATTTAGTATCCTCTTGTTCTATTAGAATGACTGCTTCTAAGACTATACTTTTAGGGATCATTTCTATAGTTCATTACTGGAATGACTGCTTCTGTATATGGGTGGGTCTTGGTCTTCCAGGTTTTGCATGAGCACAATTAAGTATTCTGTAATTCTCAGTCTTTTTAATGTTATCCATAATTCAGTGTCATCCACACTATTAAATACATTTATATCATCAATAAAATGCAAGAAAACACCCTTCTCATATTCTCTGCTTTCAGTCAAGATCCATCTGGCATAAGAAATGATGTCCCTTGTTCCATGGCCTCTTCTGAATCCAGCTTGAATTTCTAGCAGTTCCCTGTCAGTGTGTTGTTCCAGGAATTTTTAAAATAATCTTCAGGGAGATTTTGTGTAGGAAATTAATTATACTATTAAGTCATTTCCACATTCTGTTGGATTGATTTTTTTGGAATGATCTCAAATGTGGATCTTGTCCAATTGGTTGACATGAGCTTAGTGAGAACACCCAGGGCTGCATCTGTGTGTTGAAACACCTCCACTGGTATTCTATCAATGCCCAGCCTTACTTTTGCCAGTGATTTAAATGCCATTTAGAAGTCTTCCTTCACTACCATTGATTCTGAATCATACGCTCCTTTCTGGTATGGTTCATAGTCTTTCAAATTTTTTGGTACAGTGAATCTGTATTCCCCTTCCATCATTTTTTGAGCTTCCTGTATCGTTCAGTATTTTTGGTATTGTCCCTTGAGGTCTGGATTTTTTTTAACTTGAAAAATGCCAAACTTGTCATTCCCTTTTGTTATTCTAACTCCAGGTCTTTGCACATTTCATTATTGTACTTTGTCTTCTTGAGCTGCCCTTTGAAATCTTGTTTTCAGCTCTGACTTCATCAGTTTTGCCTTTTGCTGATGAAATCCTGAAATGAAGAGGGGTTAAAATAGGCCAATAAGACATAGTACACCAGCATTGCATGCTTCTGAAACCAAAGAGTTCAGGCCAACTTCCTCCATGGCAGGCTTTCCCAGACCCATGGGGCATGCTCAGCCTTGGCCAGCCAGATATCTGATGACCTAGATGCCAGCAGTCACCATGTCCATAGGATTTCATCAGCAGAGGGAAGAGGTTTAAGGGTCAGAAGCAACCAGTACAAAGTCCCCAAGGGGGTGGACAGAGCAGGATGGGCTAGTTCTAAACCACATGCCTGGGGTGTTCCTGCTTTCTGTCTGTCTACTTCTCAGGTTCAGTGCCACCAACACTATTTTTTCTGGATGGACTTTTTGGGGCTCAACCCAAGATCTCTCCCTGGCCTGCCAGGTGGCAACTATGAAGACTGAGAGAGTCACGTCCTAGGAGTTTTCAGGGATGTCATGATCCAGGAAACTTTAAAATACGCAAACCAATAGGTACACATTGCAGGAAAGCAGTTTCCCGATCAACCTAAGACTCATCTAAAAATAATGTGTCTTTTGTCCTTGAGAACAACTAAGTTGAGGCTGGCAACAATCTGTCAGAATGGCTGGTAGAAGTTTCCCTTCAACAGGGCAAACTCAAAGATCTGCCAAGTTCGATTTGTCATATTCTGTGTGTGTGCTGTCTGTATTGGGGCAGCCTTTCTACCTTTGAGTAGAAAAGACAGCTTATTTGGCTTAAGCCCAGACCTGCATCTCAGCTGCCTTCTGTTCCCCAGGCACTTGGCAGTGTTTTAAAACCCAGTCTAGACAACATTCGGAGAAAAGAAATTGGAGAGATGAGATAAGGCCCTGGGAGATGAAGCTCAGGTGAATGGACGACAAGTGAAGGCAGCTTAGACCAGAACCAGGTGGGGCAGGTTCAGCTCTGGCAGCAGCAGAATGGAGCCCCAGGAGGAGACCTTGAAGGCAGGGAGCTCCTGGGCCGTGTGCCTGGGCAGGAGGCCACACCAGCTTCTGCCCTCTGTTTTCTTGGCTCCTTGATCACCTCTTCAGGCCAGCCTGAAAGTGGAGGGGACAGGCCTTTGTTAACGAACTTCCCCAGCTCAAATCAGAACCTCACACCAGGCAGACTTGTTTTCCACTCAGAACAGTAAGAGCAGATGGCGAGACACTGAAACCCGTCCTTTTTCTCACTGGATATCTTGTGAGCCCCAACTTCCCTCCCGTCCCCCCCAACAAGCAGCCTTTATTCCCACTGTGCTCTTTCCCACCCACATCAAGACATGTTCAAGTCCCTCCCACCCTAAAAAAGAAAGCATTCTCCTTAACTCCTAAATGTTTACTTCAGTTACCACCTGCCTCCACTCTTCTACAACCAAAGTTCTGGAAAGAATCAGCTATACCTGCTGAGAGAGTCTGGGTGGTGCAAGAGATTTTCAGTCAGCCACCAACCTAAAGGTTGGTAGGTAGAACCCAACCGACCACTCCACAGAAGAAAGGCCTAAGTGACCTAATTCCATTCCATAAAGATAACCTCTGTGTGGTTGTTTTTGGTCAAACATTCTTTAAGTGCGATAGCACTGGTCTGTCCGTTTGCTGTATAGAGGTAATAACTTGTGGTTGCTGTGATGCTAAACACTGTGATTCTGATGTGTCAAATGCCATAATGGTTACCCATGGTGGGCAGTGTTTGGTGGAGCTCCCCAATTAAAACAAGCTTGGAAGCAGGAGTGGCATCCACTTCTGAAATAGCTTGCCTCTGGAAACTCTGCGAACTTGTAGAAACGATGAAATTATGCAAGTGTTCCGGTCTTTTGTTCATAGGATAGCTATGAGTCACCTACAACTCGATGGCACTTAACAACAACAACCTGTCTGTGTGTGTGTGTGTGTGTGTGTGTGTGTGTGTGTGTGTGTGTGAGAGAGAGAGAGAGAGAGAGAGACGTTCCCTCCCTTCCACCTCTCTCTCTCTCTCTCTCCTCTCATTGTCATCAAATCATAACCAACCTGACCCTGCAGTGTGTTTTCAGAACCTGTGAGTTGCACGGACAGAGCCTACCTGTCTTTCCGCAGAGGTGCAGGCAGATTCCAGCCACCAGAGAGCCGCAGCCTTTGCGCTAACAGCACAGCTCCCAGGCCACTAGGCCACTACTGCCCAGAAATGGCTTTTGCCAAACTAACAATGCCTTGTTCTTCATTTGTTTGCTTGCTTGTGCTTTTGTGTTTTCTAAATCCAGTGCTGTCACCTCTGTGGCCTCCCAGGGTCTCCAGCACTGCTGGGCAACCACTGATCTGGAAACTTGTTTCTCATAGTAATGGAGCAGATGCTTGGTGGGGTGGGGGTGGGGGCATCCCCTGGACCTTGTATAAGGATGCTGTACTGGAAAAGAGACTGGCCTCTAGGATTCCGCACCAAAATACATTCAATCCACTGCAGTCAAGTTGGTTCCAACTCATCGTCATCCTGCAGGACAGAGTAGAGGGTGCCCAGGCCATGATGTTTACAGAAGCAGCCTCTCCCAAGGAGCCATGGAGTAAGTTTCCATTTATAGCTCCTAAAACCATCTTCAGCCCTAAAGTTATTCAACTCACTGTTTTATTTTAACAGATACTAGCCTGACTTAGCCGTTAGGACCCACTGAGGTTCGGCTCCACCCAGGCCAGAGCCGGCATGTGCCACGTGGTGTGATCTGCAGAGACTCAGAAAGAAGTTTTACTTTTATCCAAAACTCTTTCCTCTGCCACTCTGCAAGATGAAAGTCACGCCATGAACTTACTCCATCTTGTCATTTCCCCTCCACCCCTAGAAAAGACTGAGAACTGACTGAAAGCAGCAACTGCATGCGTTTTGTTACTGTTGGCGTATTGTAGTTGAGCAAAGGTATTTTTCTAATGGACAAGTGATCGAGTAAATAAATGAATGGATGAGTGAATGAATGAATGAGTGAATGAAGGAAAAGGCCATATTTTCTCTTAACACTAGAAACCTGGAAGCCAGTAACAATGTGACTTATTGCCTGAGTCTGAATGACCATAACTGACCTTCCCCGGGGGTTTCTGAGGCTGCAAACTGTGCAGGAAGAGATTGCCCATCTCTCTCTCTCTCTCTCAGAACCTGTGTTGGGCGTGAACCACCAGCGAAGCATGGCCTTTGAGTTAGCTGCACAGCTCTCTAGGGACTGCACTCCCAGAGTTCCCTAGAAGCCTGTTGTTATAGTTGTTATTGTTGTTGATTGCCATTGAGTCAAGCATGGCTCATAGTGAACCTATGAACAAAAGACTTGAAGACTTTCTACGACTATCGTCTTTTTATCAAAGTTCATAGAGTTTCCATAGGCATGTGGTTTAGGAAGTGGATGCCACTTCTGCTTCCAAACTTGTCTTAAAACTGGGAGCTCTGTCAAACACTGTCCACCATGGGTAACCGTTATGGCATTTGACACCCCAGTGACACAAGGTTCAGCATCACAGCAGCCCCATGTTACCTCAGTACAGCATGTTGACAGAAGAGTGCTGTACCGCTTAGAAGAATGTTCCTCCAAAATATGACAACTGACTTTTGAATACAAAGGCCTTCCCTGAGGTTTTGTTGACTCTAAACATGAGGCTTAAATAAAAAAAAACAACCAATATAGTATGTTGTTGTTATGTGTCGTTGAGTCACCTGCATCCTATAGCAACCCTATATGTAGCAGCTCTGAACCCTTCCCTATCCTGAGCCAATCTCATTAATTCTGACACACCAATCCCCAATTCTTCAGTTACTGTATCAATCCATCTCATCCTGGGTTCTTTCTCTCATAACGCTGGAGAGAAGCTTGTAGGGAGGCCTTTTGGCATCTTTGGTTGCTTTTGAAGGCCGTGGGGAGGGACTGCTTCAGAAGTGATGCCTCTTCCTGAGGGCTGTTTGCTTCACCAGCCTCTGTCTCCACAGGAGTGATCATCTATGCAGTAGGCGTTGCCTGGGCCGCACAGGATGAACTGGAAGTCATCGCCACCCACCCTGCCCGGGACCACTCCTTCTTTGTGGACGAGTTTGACAACCTCTACAAAATTGTCCCCAAGATCATCCAGAACATTTGTACAGAGTTCAACTCCCAGCCTCGAAACTGAGCTCAGAGCAAGCAGGGCTGCACCTGGTTCTCGGACAACACCCACTGTGGCTGAGGGACTGGGACACAAACGAATTCTCCTTGTTCTTTAACATCATTATTTTTCATACTTCAAAGCCTAGAGTAAGAAGATTGGCCCTAACTTTGTAGAATGATCTGGTGACACGTGATTTCCAGGGTTTTGGGATTTTTCACATCAGTCATTTTCTTTCAAGATAAATGTTCAGAATAGAGTATCAATTATGGCAGGTTTAAGTGGAACTTTGGGAAGGATTTTTCCTTTACTCTCACTTGAGACCTCTGTAACCCTCCTTAGGTGCCATCGTGACACAAGGTCAGAGTTCATTCAATGGTTGTGGGGTGCATGCAGCCATTCTGATTGTGTAGTGATCACAGGGTAAGGGTCCGCCCCCTTTTTTCTGCTTTTTTCCAGAGCACTGACTATGCCTTCCACCAGACAAGATGACAGCACCCCACTAAGGTGTAGAGAAAGTAGGGCATCAGCACAGCTTTTCCCCATCTGCCCATCTGTCACCTGAGTCTCTGGGCAATGTGAGGGACTAACACAGTTGGTTGCATTTTTTGGTTTGAGTTCATGCAGAGGTACCTTGGAATAAAGGCCTGGTGATCTGCTTCCAAAAAAAAACCAAAAAACAAGCTATTGAAAACCTTTTTGTAATATGGTTCTACTTTGACACACCTGGGGTCATTATGAGGCATAATTGACTCCAGGGCCACAGCTTACAGCTAGGCCCTACCAGCAGAATCCCTGCAACAAGTAACTTCAGGAGCAGCTGGGGAAAGACCTGGAGCATCAAGTGAGTCTTGCTTGAAAGTGATGCATTTGGTCAATACGGGCACACTCAGCTCAAGCTACACATCCAAACCACATGGGAAGGGTGTGAATGCTGATTTCTAGTCTACGCCAAAATACCCACGTAATCTGGATTTCTGGGTCATGATACCTGAGCATTAGATAGTTTGTTTGGTTTTTAAAGAGTTCTCCTTTCTGAGCATTTTCACGAGCAGGCAGGATTAAGAAGCACTGAGCTATCCTCCAAAGGGTTATTGTTACAGTTCGTTTGTGGAACTTATCCTATTTATGCCTATAGTCCTAGTCCTACCTAGTTTAGCATTAGTACTGAATTTTTCATTTGTTAACTAAATACTAGGCAACACCAGTGGCCTCATGCAAGAAGCTGCATTGCAATCCCGAAGGCACATGGTTCAAATCCACCAGTTGCTCTGCAGGAGGATGGGCATTCTCCTCCTACGTGATTAACTTCCTCTGAAAACCTGCTGGAGGATCAGTTATGGGTCGGTTCCGACTCTACGGTACACAACAACAAACTAAATACTAGTAATAATGGCCTTAAAGTGGGCCTACAAGGCTTTGGTCTAACTGTGCTTTATGCCTCCAATGTCTGATATGAAATGCATGTGCAATGGGGAAACATTAAAAAAAATCCATCAGTAAATAAGACCATTATTGTAGAATGAGTATGAGGATCCAAGGATGAGGGTAGAAGAAGAGGGATGAGGATGTGTGGGGTAGGGAGTTATTAATCATGAGGTTGTGCAATCTGATGGTTAGGGGGGTGAGGGGAATTGGAAGAATCTGGGCTGAAAATGTATTTTAGTTTTGTAAATAAACTAGTATAATTTAAAAAAAAAATCATCAGTAGAGAAGACTGCCTAGCGAGCTGCCTTCTGTAAAAATCTGTTAAAGGGAGCTCTGATAGCTTAGTGGTAAGAAGCTGTGCTGCAATTCTGAAGGCATGTGGTTCAAATCCACCAGTGGAAAAGGAGGAGCAATCGCCTCCTGTGCCAGTCAGATCTGATTCGATGGTACACAACAAAAGAAGAAAAATAAAATAGCTGTTGCTGATTGAAGTCAGTTACTGCTGGGAGCCACGGCTGGGAGCCACGGCGGCGTTGGCTCTGAGTCGCGGAGACACCACAAGTGCAGAGCACGCGCCACATGGTGTTGAGGGCTGCGGCCCTTCTGAAGCAGATCACCAGGCCTAACTTCGGGGCACGTCTGAGTGGGTTTCTTTCAGTTAGTCGTCCAGCACTTAACCCAGGGACTCTCACCTGTATCAATACTTCAGAAAAAATGTTTATATAAAAAAGTTGAATTGAGGATGTCATTCATTTAGGAGTTTTCTTTGAGTTTACCAAAACTTCTGGTAAGGCGTTACGGGAGGGAGAGTCTACTATCCATTTAAAACACTCTGATCTGCAGAAAAAAAATCTACTAAAGGTGGAAGCAATTTCAAATTTATTAAACATAAAGTTCACTTTGGAGGCAGCTGCAGTTTTGTTCAAATTGTGAAAGACGTTTGTAAAGACTAAATTCTTCAAAAGATACCAAAGTTCATTCAAAAACACAAAAACAAGAAACTCATTAAATAAATTAGTGCTAGGAACTTACTTTTCCTTTCTTTTTGAATGAGCAGGTAATAATAAAATGTTGCTTCAATGTACTCCTATTATTTTAATTCTTTAAAAATGTTTTTTCTGGAGTAGTTTTTATATCATTGTTTTATAGGGGCTTTAATATAATAAAACCAATTTGTCATTAGTTCATCAAGAAGTAACATTTCCTAAAATAATATCATTACTTATTACCCCCTTTACTCCCAGAGTTGTCCTCTTGTTGTGTTGGCACCATGCAGTCGGCGCTCACCCACAGCTGACCCTCCGGCGGGGTTTCAGAGGCCATTAATTGCATGAGAAGAGATGACCTGACTTTTCTCCCCTGGAGCAGCTGGTGGATTGAAACCACATGCCTTTGGGTGGGCAGTACAACTCGTTATCGTTAAACCACAGAGTTGCCTAAAATTGTCTAGTCGGGAAAATAAATTAGAGCGTCATCCTGTGCATAGGGAGCTCTGGTGGTCTCATGGATAAGGAACTGCGCTGCCAACCCAAACGCGCTAGATTCCAATCCCCCAGCTCTGCGGGAGAAAAACAAACGCTCCCCTCCTGTGTAATTTACCGCGCCTATGAGGTGGTATACACAGTAACAACACTTTGTACTTTTGAAGACAATCAAAACCCCTCACCAGATTGTCGGATGAGCATATTGTCTGATGTCCTCGACAGGATTTGGCAGTGGCCGTGGGAGCAAAGAATCACAGGAAGGGAGGTGGTTGAGAAGCCAGAGTCTAGTGTCATCACATTTCTGTGGAGTGACAACAGTGGCAGGAGTCACAGTGACAGGAGAAGCACTGGGATCCTAAGAGGAGTGAAGGAACAGCCGTGCTGGGGATGAGAGGACAGAAGGTCAGAGTGGGTGGGGGACTCTGGATCCTACGTAGTGAGCGAAAGTGAAAGGTCAGACCAGACCCACACCCATTCCAGGCCCAAAGTACAAGGGTACGTAATGGTCAATGTCATGTCTCCACTCTACTAAGCTAAGGGTTTCCATAGTTTGGTCAGACATTGCAAAGTGGCTGTGAATTTTTTTTTTAATTGATGTGATGAACATCCAAATCAGGTGACTGTGAGTACATTTCCCTCAATGGGGGTGAGTCTCGTCCTATCACTTAGAAGGAAGACCTTAAGAACAAGACCTGAAGCTTCCTGGAGAAGGAATTCTGCCTCAAGGCTGTTTCATAGAAATCCTGCCAGACTCTGTAATCCCGTAAGCAATCCCCAGCCAGTCTTCTAAGGCAACTCTCATTTCTTGGAAAAGCCCTTCCAAGTCCTTTCATCCCAAAGACAACTGAAAGAAGCAAGCAAGGGGGATGGACCTGGCTCACTGGGTGTAAGGATGTTTCAAAATCTACCCATTTTCACTGTCTCTACCTCTCAGGAATTGAAGGCCTTTGGAAGAAGTTTCTTTGTTAAGACTCAACTTGGTACATCAGGGCTCTGCTAGACATTTGCAGCCCAGCTGACAGGGTCCAACTGTTTCTTCTTTATCTGGGCTCTTTGAACTCCTGGAACAGGACAACCACTCTCTCAGAGAGGAAGCTCTGGTGGCATAGTCCATAGGAAGTTGCAGTGATAACCCAAGGTCACGCCTCTGTGGCATCTTGCATCCAGAGAAAGATGGACAATCTTCTCCCTTGCAATTAGTTTTAGATGCTGTCGAGACAATTTCAACTCATAGCCACATCACTACCACAGGTCAGAACCTTTCCATAAAATGCACCATCCTCATGGTCTCCGACATGCTTGAATTCACTATGGTCATTGTGTCACTGAGGGTCATGCTCTCTTTTGCTGACTCTCTACTTTTCCCAGGGAACTCTGGTTGCCTGGGGGTAAAGGATTTGCTCTGCCAATACAAAGTTAGGTGGCTTGATTCTACCAGCTGCTCCACGAGAGAAAGATGGCCATTCTCATCCCATGCAGTTTATAGCCCCTGAAAACCTGCTGGAGACTCAGCTGAGGCAGTTCCAACTTGAAGGCACATAACATAAAGTACCCTTCCCAGCATAATGTCATTTTCCAAAGAGGGGCCTCTCTGACAACATACCAAGAAAGTATGTGAGACACACTTTCACCGTCCTTTCCTCTAAGGAGTGCATTAGTTATGCTTCCTCCAAGATAAGATTTTTTTGTCTTTTACCTCCTGATGTATTCAATACTTTTTGTTAGCACCACAATTAACAGCAGCAATTCTTCTTTGGTCTTCAATATCTATTGTCCCAACATTCACACGCATATAAGCAGTTGAAAATACCCCATGTGGATCAGATGCACCTTAGTCTTTAAATTGACATCCTTGATCGTTAGAATTTAAAGATGTTAACAGCAGAGTTTCCTGGTTCAATGTGTCTATTTCTTTCTTGACTGCTGCTACCAGGATGACGATTATGGATTCAAGTAACATGAAATCGTTGACAGCCTCAGTCTTTGCTCCATCTATCATGATGTTGTCTATTGGTCCAGTGAGGATTTTGTTTTCTTGATGTTGAGTTGTAATTCATATTGAAGATTTGATCTTTCACAGTACATGCTTCAATTCTTCTTCACATTGTACAAGCC